CTTCTAGTTATGTCTGTTCCCACTATCATTCACACATCAAAAGCACCTGGTTTTACATAGAATCACTTAGATAGTTCTTAACTTGGTTATAGCCTGTAAGACCACAGGTGAAAAAACATGGAAGCAAACAATTTAAAAGTCATTTATCGTAGTTGTGAATTTGAGTCAAAAAGCAGTGCAGCTGCCCTGCCATCTCAGCGCTTGAGAAGATGCAGTGGGCTCAAGAGAATTCAAGCTCAGCTGGGGCTAAAGAGCCAGACCCAGAACAAACCTCAACCAAAAAGACGGGAGCTTGAAGCTGCTTTATAAAACCCCTCAGACTCCAAACGGGACTGTTCCGAGCACTTTTATCTACATGGGTGGAGTTACATAATAAGCAAGTGTAATAAGAAAGACGGTTGGGGTTTTAAACTGATGAATAGCTCAAAACAGTGACTTAGCATAGATCCTTCTGGTGAATTATTAACTTATTAAAGGCTCAGTTTACAATGGGAACTGAGAAACTGTTGGGCGAGTCTTGGCGAGGTTTCCTTTCACTTCCTTTATATAAAAACAGGCTTTGGAGTGGGGTGTGGTGAGGAGAGACGGGAAGAATAAATGTGTGTGATAAAAGGGAGCCTCGGCTGCCATCTTCCCTGGTGCAGCTGACTCGCTCCATGTGAGGACCTCTCCTAAAAAAAGCTTGGGTGGGTGGCGTGGAAGTACACACTGTGCACTACGAACCAAGACAGGAAACTAGCTGCAGCCTCCAGACCCAAACAAAGCCAGGCAGGACCAGGGTCCGGGATCAGGCTGCAACCCTCCTAAGCGATGCAGGGGAACAGTCTTGAGACAATGAGACCGGAGCTGCTGCGCCAATTTCTGCTAGCTGGCCGTTGTCCGTAGGGTGGGGGTCGGGTGGGGTGAGTCAGGGCCCTAGCCGGTTCTGCGATTGTGTCCCCCCACCCCCACCCACTCAGCCGGCACCTCCTTCCTCTCTGATTGGCCAGGAGTGGAGCCTGCGCCCTGCTTCTCCAGGAGACATCCAGCGCAGTGGCCCTTTCTCCACTACTCACAAAGATGACGCTCGCCATCCTGGCCCTGCGGCTGGTGGTCTGCATCCTGGCGCTTCCCATGTTTCTGCTGAACTTTCTGGGCGTGTGGAGCTGGGTGTGCAAAAAGTGGTTTCCCTACTTCCTGAAGAGCTTCACGGTGACGTACAACGAGCAGATGGCGAGCCAAAAGCGGGAGCTCTTCAGCAACCTGCAGGAGTTCGCCGGCCCCTCGGGGAAGCTGTCGCTCCTGGAGGTGGGCTGTGGCACCGGGGCCAACTTCAAGTTCTATCCCCC